CTCTCCCCCCCCTAATTTACCTCATGCAGAGCTGCCAGGTACTTGTAGGCCTTCCTCACCACCTCATCCCGCTTGGCATCCTGGGGATGGGACACAATTTGGGGGGGGGGTCCCCAAGTTATATTTCAATGGCTTTTGGGGTCCCGTTTTGGGGGGGTTTGGGGGTCCCTGGGTCTCTGTCTGGCAGGTTTGGGGGTCCCAGGTACTCTGGGGTCCCCTTTGGGCTGAGTTTCGGTGTTTTTTGGGGTCCTTGGTTTCTCTGCATTGTGTTTTGGGGGCTTTGGGGTTCGTTTAGGAGTGGATTTTGGGGTTCCGATGGTTTTAGGGTCCCCTGCTTTTTCCATGGTGGGTTTGGGGGATTTTGGGGTGAGTTTTGGGGACCCTACGTCTCCTACCTGGTCATTTTTTGGGGATCCCAGGGGCTCTGGGGTCTCTTTTGGGCTGAGTTCTGGGGTCCCTGATTCCCATTCAGGTGGGTTTTGGGGTCAGGGGGCTCTGGGATCCCCTTCCTTGTAGGATTTAGGACTCTGGTTCACCCCAATTGTCCCCGGGCAGAATTTGGTCCCCTCAAAACCCCCTTGCATTCTACAGAGCTCCCCATATTCCCTCACCACAACCCCCACAACCCTTCAGGACCCCCCCAAAACCCCCAAACCTTGAAGAGCAGCTCGTCGGTGACGCTGAACGTCCGCTCCAGTTTCCCCACCAGCGCGTTGATCTCCTTCTGCAGGGCCCGCGTGTCCACCAAAATCTGGGGGGAGGGGGGAAGAGACCCCATTGATTTTGGGGTACAGCCCCACCCCCAAATCCTCAGCTCCCCCCTTCTTCCCCCCTCCCAAGACCTCAAAAAGGACACGATAACCCCCAAACCCAATCCCAAATCTTGGGATCATCCTGAGAGTTACGAGGACCCCGAATCCCCCTGATTTGGGGTACAGCCCCCCCAAAATCCCCAGATCCCCCCCAACTCTTTCCTCAAACCTCTTCCAAGACCCCCAACGACCATGATAACCCCCAAAGCCACCCCCCAAACCCCATCGGCACCCCCTAATCCCCACCCTGAGAGCCACCAGGACCCCCAAGCCCCCTACTTTTGGGGCACACAACCCCCCCACACCCCATCTCCAACCCCAAGATGACACAACAACCCCCAAACCCACCCCACAAGCCCCACGGAGACCCCCAAATCCCCACCCTGAGAGCCACCGGGACCCCCAAAACCCTTATTTTGGGGGCACAACGCCCCATAATCCCCCTCCTCACGTCTCCCTACCCCAAAATTTAGGACCCCCCCCCCAACCTTCCCAATCTCCTCCTTCTGCTTGCGGATGTTGCTGACGATCTCCAGGATCCGCTGCGTGTAGACGGCGCGGGAGATGTCGCGGGGCAGTGCCTCCAGCTCCACCAACTGCATGTAGAACACGAGGGGGGGGGGGGGGGGGAAGGGGTCACCGAGGGACCCCCCCCACCTTAAAACCATGAGACCACCCCCCTGAATTCACCAGCTGCTTGTAGAGCTCCTCCTTGCGCCGTGCTTCCTCGGCTGCAGAGCGGCTGCGCTCGTGGAGGACGCGGATCTCCGAGAGGCGGCGCGAGGATTCCAGCTGGGGTAGGAAGGGGGGCAGAGGGCCGTGTAGGGTGTAAATCCCACCAGGAAAAGAACCCCGGGGACCCAAAAAGCCGTAGAGCTCCAAACCCCGTAAGGAAAGGGACCCCAGAGCCCGTCATCCTACAGAGAACAGGGTCCTGCGTTCTACAATCCCACAGCGACTCCAAAGCCCCCAGACCCACGAAGCTCCAAACCCCGTAAGAAAAGGGATCCCAGAGGCCATAATCCTACAGAGAACAGGGTCCTGTAGGCTATAATCCCATACGAAATGGGATCCCAAAGCCTCTAAGCCCATACGGCACCAAATCCCATAGGAAAAGGGATCCTGGAGCCTGCAATCCCAAAGGGAAAAAAATCCCACTGTCTATAATCCCATAGGAAAGGGGACCCCAAAGCTTCTGAACTCCTAAAGCTCCAAATCCCATAAGAAAAGAGATCCCAGAGCATCCAAACCAATGAGGACAGGGATCTCAGAGACCCTAAAACCGAAGCACGATCCCACAGCCCCCAAACCCACAGGGAATGGGGGTCTTGGAGCCCCTCAGAGCCTCAAAACTAATGGCAAAGTGACCCCAGGACCCCAAAACCCACCAAAATAGGACCCAGGGACCCCAAAACTCAGCCCAAAGGAGACCCCAGAATACATGAGACCCCAAAAAACTACCAGGAGGGAGACCCCAGGACCCCAAAACCCACCCCAGGGTCCCCAAAGCCTATGATGGAAGACCAATGAGCCCCACAACCTACAAAAATGAGACCCAGAAACCCTAAAACTCACCCCAAAGGGAACCCCATAATCCCCAAAGCCTATCATGGGAGACCAAGGGACCCCAAAAACTGACTCCAAAGGGGACTCACGGATCCCAAAACCCATCCCAAAGGGGACCCCGAATCCCCCGGGACCGAAACGAACAGAGCTCCCAA